CACAAAATTGCCAATATAAAATCTGCCAATTTCTTTCGACAGGCAAATCCGCCAAATATTACTCCCGCCAATAAATCATCTTGTATGGTAGTCGAATGCTGTCATTTCCAAAAATTAAATGCACAAAAATAATACAATTAAATGTACATAACTTTATGAGCAATACCTAATACATTACAGCATATACTGTATACCGGTTTATTTTCGTGGTGAAATATTTTCGTAAAATTCATGGTCTCTTCGCTCCTTCACAAAATTTTTCCACCACAAAATTCTGCATTTTCATTCCCACATGGTGCAGACACAAGCCATTAGTAAAAATTAATTCCGCAAAATCTTAGAAATGCAAGATCGCGAAAACTTTCCACCACAAAAATAAACTGGTATACGATACATGTATCTATATCCTATACGTGGAAATTTTCGAGGGGATAAATTTTCGTGAATGATGAATTTGCAGGATTTCACGAGGCCAAATTTTCGCGAATTATTTTTGAAGTGCCACCATTTTGTAATAAAGTGGAGAGTTAAAATTAATTTTCGCGTGTTTTAATTTCGTAAATGACTCCCATTTCACAAAATTCGTAAAAATTTACCCCCTCAAAAATTTCCCCATATAGGATACTTACTTCCCAGGATCCCTATCAGGCATTCCTTCATTGCAGCATGAGGGCCCATAGCCAGTGCAGTACTTGCAGAACTGGCATATGAGGCATCTCTCGTTGGTCCAGGTGTGTTCTCCTTTAGGACAGATGTGCTCATCATCATCTTCACTAATAACATCAAGGTCTTCATCACCTTCTTCAATACCTTGATCTGTTGGGAGGGGGAGAGAGGGAGAGAGAAGGAGGGAGAAAGAGAAATTTATAATAAAATAGCCTCATACATAATTACACATACAGCACCATACAGTACTGTATACCATAAAATCTATGCGCCAAAAATTTTTTGTGAATCCTGCATTTCCAAGATTTCACGTAGTAAATTTTTCCAAATAGCTTGCAAATTGTACCACATGGCACCCAATAGAGCTGCAGAATTTTGGGATTTTAATTTTTGGGATGGAGCAAAAATTGCAAAACTCGCAAAAAAATTTTTGTCGCATAAATTTTATGGTATACGATATACTACAGTTTTAAACATACATGTACAAGTAAATCCCATTCTTTCTCATGTCTATGCAGTGATAATCATTATAAAATTATATGCACAGGACATCACATTGTTGTATGCAGCAACTTTGCAGCTACTTTTATGAAACTCCTCCACTTGGGACACAATACAAATGCTTTGTAACCTGGCCCTGGACAAAGCTGCAAGCTAATGTACATGTACAGTACATGTAGGTAAGTCCATGATAGTAAATATAATCAACCACATCATAACAGTTTATATACTATTCACAATGGTATGCCTACGTCATGTGCACTAAAGTCACATGATCCAATTAAAATTACAACAGATCACAGTCACAGTAATAGTCAGCTAAAAGAAACCCAGTACCTATATATTCTTTACATTGAGTTCATGGCTTTATCTAAAGGCCCACTATTAAGAGCTAAGAAGGTACAGAAAGCAGCTCCTCTACTACAAGGAAGCAACTGTATAGCAGCTATTGACTTTGGTACCTCATCACTATCAGTAGCATACACCACTCCTGCAACTGATGGGGCCATTAAACTAGTACCACTACACAGTACTTATGAGAGGATTCCTAATGCTATACTGCTCATAATAAAGGAGGAGGGAAATAAGGTCATTGGGATTGGACACGAAGCCCAGAGCATGTACAGCAATATAAAGAAAGGAGCTAAAAACTTTATTTATTTCGAACGGATCAAGAAGTTACTAGAGAGAGATAAAGTGAGTTACATGTACAATGTATAAACCATGGTTAGGTCTAGAGGGAGTTTAGGAGACTATGCCTATAATAATTAGTCTAGATCTCCAAAAATCTCACATTTTCCATTCTTTAGCTTATAGTCTCTCTCACATTTAGCCTAGGTGTCCTTAGTCTCCTATTTTTAGTTAGATTGGTCTCCTGACATTTATTTCTAGATCCAACAATGTACAGTATATACACGTATTACTAGTATTATTATAATATTTATTCTTCAGTCATTAGATCGTACTACTAAAGTCTCTTCCTTCACTGGTGGATCTTATTATCTCATTGAAGTTATAGCTTTTATACTAACACACCTCAAGGAGAAGCTACTCATTGATCATTTGAAGAGACACTACAGACCAACTGATTTTGATTGGGTCATTACTGTTCCTGCTATATGGAAAGCAAGAGCAAGAAGAATGATGAGAGAAGCTGCTTATATGGTAACCTAATACATGCTTTGTATTTCATTATGTTAATATGATAGGCTGGTCTCACTTCTGATGCTCCTGGTATAACAAGGTTCACTCCAGTTGGTTCTCCTTTACCACGTCCAGAGGAGGTTAATCCTGAGAAGCTATCATTAGCTCTAGAACCAGAAGTAGCTGCTATAGCTGCACAGCATCAGTCAGAAGTTAAAGGCCTTCCTCCTCAGAGATACATGGTAGTTGATATAGGAGGTGGTACAGTTGATATTACTGTACATGATAAGAGTAATGGGAGAATTAGTGTAGTACTACCACCAATGGGTAACACCTGGGGAGGTACTACCATCAATGAAGCATTGTCAATGCTACTGGAAGAAGCAGTAGATGATGGAGGCTTCCAATCTTTTATAGAGTCCGACCCCATCAGTGCCAGAGCTACGCTAAATAAGCTCTTCTACGAAGAGTTTGAAGAGCGAAAAAAGAGATTTGGAAATGCAATCGAGGGCTTTAGTGAAATAGTATTAATACTACCACGACCTTTCATCAGGTATTATGGCAGTGATAAGCTTCATGAAGCAAGCAAGCAGAACATGTACTATGATCCAGGAGATGATTCTTTAAGCATAGGATATGATCAATTAGAAGAGAAGATATTCAAGTCTACAGTTGATAAGATCATAGAGTGCGTGAGAGCAGCATTTGATGGCCTAAAAGATCATATTGATACAGTTTATCTGGTAGGAGGGTTTGGAGGGTGTAAGTTTGTTAGTCAAAGGATAGAAGAAGCTATTGCTGAGCATCGTGGCATGCTTTATGATAATATAGTGTGTCCTATACAACCAGATCTTGCTGTTGTATCAGGAGCAGTAATGTGGAGGAAAGATCCTAACATAATCCAATCACGTGTTGCTGATGCTACCTATGGGATAGGATGCCAGCCTGAATTTGACCCATCAAAACATGATATATACTACTGGACTATAGACGAAGAAGATCGCAAGCAACGTTGTAAATTTGTCTTTGAGGTATTTGTGCTCAAAAGAGAAATATTAAAAGATGAAGTATATAAAACAAGATTAATACCTCTTTATCAAAGCGACAAACAAATACACATTCCCATATACTGTACAGTAGATGATGGAGTTCAGTATACAAGAGATAAAAAAGGTGAACTAACGGTATGTAAGATTGGTGAGCTAATACTTGATGTTCCTAATCCTAATAATGTACCAAATAATAAGAGAGATGTAGACGTATTCATGGATTTCAGTGGTACAGAGATACAAGCAAGAGCTCAGTATCGCATCACTGGAGAAGAAGTGAAAACTGTTTGTGACTTTCTAACAAACCAAGACTAAATATACATGTAATGAAGAGTGTGCATGCATGTAATTTCTTGCTCATAATTATAATGTTATAGACCACCCTAGGCGTGAATTGGAAAAGTTAAGGATTTCATTAATTTTATATATGGTATCTGCCCACACATCATAATTGGCTGCCATTTTGGTTCGCAAGTTTGTTAAGGAAGTCAATGGAGGCACAAAGAGAATGCCTCACTTACCTGCTGTAGCTCTATCAATAGCTAAAAAGCGCTTGTTATAAGAAAGAACAGCTGCCTCTAAGCTTCTCCTGTCAAGGATTTGGTCAAATTTGCTCCAGAATTCTTAATACAGGTTTGTTTTTATGTCGTCCCGTTTGCTCTCCATTGAAAGTTGCCAACCAAAATGGCGGCCGGAATTTATTTCATCCTAAACCACGCCTTACAACCGTAAAAATTTCTAATAATCTTCTTACGCAGTCAATTCTCACCTAGGGTGGTCTATACATGTTATTCTTAACACCATTTGGCTCAAACTACTTGTCCTTAATACAGAGATGTTTTCATTGGTTAGTGACAAGTAGGAAAGTATCCTAGCTCCCATTATAAAATGGATGTAGCTATTTTTTGTAGTCATATTTAATTATCATTATGTAGCTGTTGCAACAAATATCTGATATTTTTGGCAAATTTTGAGAAAACGTATTAAGCCACAGCAGGACAAGGTGCATTCAAAATAATAAAATCCACAAAAGGACTTTTACTGGCTATTCATAAAAATTTCATGCCAGACAAATTATTAACTACAATTCAAAAAATACTGTATATACATGTTAGGCCTGGGCGATAGTAGTAATATCACTGTCACGATATTTTCTAACTCTAATATCACGATAGTGGACATATCATGATAGTTCAGCCATAAGGTTTACATGTGGAAATACAATGATTTATTTAAGGATGTAGTCATTGTACTTAACTAATGTATCTATTAATTTGTATAATCACATTATACATGTATAATAATACTAGTTAATTTAAATTTATTTAATCCAAATTTTCAACAAGAAACACTGTCCCACTTCACATGCTGCTAATGTAGCAGGGATAGTGAAAACCTTGAAGCAAGCTGTGCAAGCAAGTCGTACCACTCTATGAGTGGAAGTTGCTATCAATTAGAAGATGATTACAGCTGTCAAGTGTCATTTATCAGGCCCGTAGCCAGGGTTACAAAAAGGGGGGTGACAAAATATGAGTTACATGAAATGGGGGTGACAAGTTGGACTGGATGCACATGAAATGCCACAAATACATGTTTGATTTAAGCAAACAAACAAAGGTACTAACTCAAAAGGGGGTGACATGTCACCCCAATCACCCCCCCTGGCTACGGGCCTGTTTATGCGCATGCTCCATGCACACATGCTCCATGCACACATGCTCCATGCACACATGCTCCATGCACACGTGGTAACTATCGTGATAGTTAGAATAACAGTATCACTATCATGATAGTGCAACTATCGATACTATCACCCAGCCCTAATACATGTATATTTTTTATACACGTACAAAAAACTAGAAAGAATGTAAAACATTGAGGGACTCCACCTCCCACATGTAGATTCTATAGCTGAAAAAGCAGAATCTCTACCATATCTTGCTGCTATGTTCCTAACTGTGTTGGTTGCTATTTTCATAGATATTAGCATAGATATTAGAGTAAATAAAAGGGATTGGAAACTTCCGTTGCGTGGGTGGATTATGCAATTAAGATTATTAGGTTGCCTAGCAACATAGGCAGGTTACCCTTCCCAGGCCTTTTCCTTCACTGTTCGGCGTCCTATTTCAACTCATAACTCTAAAGTGACTTGTGTTCGTCCTCTGCAATGATAATTAAAGGTATTACAGATACCTCCCTTACAGTCTGTCAAATTTTTGAAGTAAAATAATATTGATAACTATTGGTAAAGTTTGATTTAGTGACCTGATACCTTCAATATTGTGGTTTTGTACCCTTTTTTAGAATACAAAAGAACTAATACTAGAATTAACTATTACCAACTATTTTATACATTATTATGGAAGGCACGCAACATAAATGACTCCGATGACAGATTTGGTGACTGATTTATAATCAATTCAAAGTTTTTGCAAAGACCTTTGTTTTGTACCTTTTTCTTTACAGTTCAATGATTGGCACATTTAAATGTGATATGAAAGCAAAGCTTGATGTACACTTGAGGGCACGCACATACTTTAATGTATGTGACATAAACACAATTTGAGAAAAACCATTATGAAGTTGTAGTATTCCATAATGTTTGATAATTTTCTTAATAAATCCTATTGTAAAATTGAAAAAATTCCTATAAATAGAGAAATTATCATGGTATGGGTAACTAGCATTTCCTGCCACGAATGGAAGTTTCCAATCCCTTTCATTTACTCTAATATCTATGATATTAGAGTATTCTTTTTTGACCACTCCCACTTTCAATGAAATATTGAAAAATGAATTTATACTGAATGGCTAATGTATAGTATCTACAATATTACGCAAAATAGGGATGAGATATGTACAGACAAACAAACAAACAAACAAAAATATTATATGCAAAGGACATTACATTGTTGTATGCAACTTTGCAGCTACTTTTATGAAACTGCTCCACTTGGGACACATTACCAATACTTTGTAATGTGGCTCTGGACAAAGCTGGAAGCTAATGTACATGTACATGTAGATCCATGAGAGGAAAAGAATAGTATATTTATAATCAACCACATCATAACAGTTTATATACTATTCACAATGGTATGGCTATGTCATGTGCACTAAAGTCACATGATCCAATTAAAATTCCAACAGATACAGATCACAGCCACAGTAATAGTTAGCTAGCAGTGCCTATTATTCTTTACATTGAGTTCATGGCTTTATCTAAAGGCCCACTATCAAGAGCTGAGAAGGTACAGAAAGCAGCTCCTCTACTACAAGGAAGCAACTGTATAGCAGCTATTGACTTTGGTACCTCATCACTGTCAGTAGCATACACCACTCCAACTGATGGAGTCATTAAACTAGTACCACTACACAGTACTTATGAGAGGGTTCCTAATGCTATACTGCTCATGATAAAGGAGGAGGGGAATAAGGTCG